TTCAGTAATCCAGATGTGCAGGTGTCATGTGAGTCTGGCTCCAGTTTGTAGGTGGTAAACTAGTGAAGAAATCCAGTGGAAAAAAAGAGTAAAATTAGCTTCTACGTCTCCCTGTTCCTTGGCCCATGGCTAATCTTCCCCCCAGATCTGATTAGAATATGTGATGTAGCTTTTGCTGTTTTTGGTGAAAACAAAAACAAATGGGATTGAAGACACTGCGTCCCATATCCATTGTTTCCCAGCAGAGCGATAAAACTAAAGCCTTACGTTGTCCTCCACAGCTGACTTCCATCATGTGTGGAATCAGCTGTGATTTATTTTTAATAAATTGACCCAATGAGTCAGATTCCAATCTTATCTGGTGGGCTTTTAGCAAAAAAACATTTACCAATTTAATACAAGATTACACTCTAAATGTGTCAGTACAAGTTCATTATCTCCCCTTCACACAGGCCACATTTGTCTCATTATCTTTCAGACAATTTAAATTTTGTTGGTGGAATTATTGCCTCGTCATCTCTTTCCAAAAGTGCCGGATGCTGACGACGCAGTTCCTGCTTAATAAAGACGAATTTTATACACTTAGAAAAACGGCTGCATGTTGATGAGCTCTCTGTCCTCCGCTTGTTCTGAGCTCGGAGAGATTCAGCCCGAGTGCAGCCAAGTTTGACTCATCAAACATTAAGCGGCAGGGTCCCTGTGACCAGCCAGCTGCTCTGCCACCACACTCTCTGGTTTTTTCTCTCTGTATTTTTTTTCCTGGAAAACTACCTGGCTGTGCTTCATGCTCCTCTGCCTCTGCATAAATGTGTGTTTTTTTTTTTTTTTTACATTCCCCCTGGTGGGAGCTCAGTCATAACATGCCTGCTGCCCTTTGGAGTATCTCTTGACCTTTAAGTCTGGACAGATATTCCCCTGCAGAGAAAGTCGGGCTCTAACCAGAGATGAAAGGCTGCTGAGAGGCTTAACTGTGGTTGTCTGCCTGTAAGAGGAGAACACCGGAGGAGAAAGGAACTGTGTGTGAATTCGGAGAGTTGTTGATGTTGTGAAGAAAAACTGGTTTGAAAGTTGCTGCTTTTTAAGGCAAAAAAAGTACCTTGACATTTAAAATAGAGCAGACAATGTACGTTGCTTTCCTGTGTTGATTTTCATTAACCAGGAATACACACAGACACAACAGTTAGTTAATTAGTTTGATGTTTAACAGCAGATATAGAAACAGGTAAAAAAAAACGCATTCTGTAGAAGAGAATAATCTGTGAAATGAAATGCATAAGGTGTGGTTGAGTTTAAACACTGTTACTTTCGTCATTAAGTTAAGTAACCCCTGTTCACATCCCGCCACCCCGACCTCCCACGGTGCAACTCCACACTGCTCTCAGCTTTGCTACTTGGAGACACAAACTTCCTCTACAACACATTATGTTTCTATACAACAGATTTGAAACAGCAAATATATTATATTTTGCAGGAAACATCGTTCTGCTCAGGCTGTATTTTTCTGACCATAACCGGAAAAATACTCGTAATGAACACATCTTCAAAAGTTTGAAAATGTTCATACTGAACACCTCTGCAAATCATTCATTGACAGTCTCGTTTGTTTTCCCTGTTTGCAGCCACTCAGGTGTGATTAATGTGTTTTTTTTGGTTGTGTTCAATCAGCTCAAACCACTCGGTTAAGACAAGGAATGCATCATAGTGCTGGATAAATGGGACATAACCACAAGGCAGCTTTATTTCTTTGAATATTTTTCACAAAACACGATCTTTTCCAAACGTAAACCGATTTTTTTTTTTCATTTTTTAATTTTTTTATTCCTAAACCTGATGTCCTGAGCTTTGTGTGCCTAGCATCCAGCCCAACAGCCCGACTACACCTGCTGTGTAGATTATTAAGTGGTAGATAAGCGCAGTGTCTAGAGAGCGGGGTTAAGAGAGGACAGAGAGTTGCCTGTCGGGAAAATATAAACATACTGAAGGTCGCTTGAAGTATATGAACTAAAAACCGATGCTGTCATTTCTCCGGTGAAGACCATTTCACACTTTTGTCAGAACCTTTCTTGAGAAACAAGACGGTGCCACCCAGCAAACATTCAATTATTATTTGCTCCCAGACAAACTTAAACTGTGGTGTCTGCAGTTTGGCCTCCTGCTCTGACTTTTTGTGCGCCCCTAACAGGGTTTGATGTACCTGCCTTCAAAGAGAAAGAGCCCAGAGAGAATGATTAGCTGGGAGCCCAGTGCTGCCTCAGCACTGTGTGTAAGTGAGGGATTTGGGAGCTCCATATCTAGTTGAACAGGGGAGTTTAAGCGTGCACAGGCTTTGGTGGGGGATTCTGCAGGTGGCCTATAGAGCTCACAATGTGGGTTTTATTGATAATTTTAACCTTTTCTGGACTTATCCGCCATACTTTTTTTTTTTTTTTATTTGAAGTTCTCTTGTTTAAAGATGGCCGTCGCCACCGGATCGTATTTGCTTTAATTCATCGGCCGCCAAAATCCATCAGCAGCTTTTTTTTTTTTAAGTAGAACTCTTGTGCCCAAGCTGAGCACGGTGCTGATCGTGAAAAGTTTTTTTTTTTTTATCTTACTTCCTTCCCCCGGCTCCCAGTATGTTTCAGAATTGATTTTAAGATCTCACTGTTGACTTTGAAGGCTCTTCGTGGCCTCTCTCTCTCTCTCCGTGCTACATATCTAACCTCTTACGCCGGTATGTCACCTGAGCTCCTCGGACAGCGGCCTTTTATCTGTTCCCGAGGTGCGGCTGAAAGCCAGAGGTGACGGAGCATTCACAGTCTGAGCCCTGAAGCTATGAAACAAGCTGCCTGAGGAAATCAGGTCAACAGAATCAGTGACCTCCTTTAAATCTATTCTTAAAACGGTACCAATATCTGAGAGCTTTTCCTGATCTGACTTGTTTTTTATTGACTGCTCTTTTTCTTTTTCCGGTGACACTGTAACTGCTTATAATTTGTTTAATTTCCTTATTTCTTGAGCAGAAATTGTTTTCATGATCTAGCTGTTGCCTTGTGTGGACCTCTTTGTAATGTGGGTTTAGGAAAGTGTTCTATAAACAAGATTATCATTATTATTTTGATTCTTATTATTACAGCCTCTGCCTGTGAATGTAAAAGTACAGAGGGTAACTGTCTCAGCGGGAAGTGGACGTCCAATGAGTCAGTTTCCGAGGCAGCACTTAGGGTAATTGTAGGGAAGGAGCAACATGAGTGTTTGGAGAATGGACTGGGTGTAGGACAGTTTTTACGGAGCTTGTCAACATCAGCAGGGAAGAGAAAGAAGGTGGTTGTAAAGGAGATTCAGAACCAAGAAAAAGCAGTGGCAGTGTAAGTGGAGTTAGGCAGTAGTTCTCCTTCTTTTATGTGTTAATTTTCATAGTTTCATAGCTTTGTGACTTCTCATTCTGCCAGGGTGTAAAACGCTGCTTTTTCAAGGGCAATACACCTGGAGACGTGGCAAAGTGCGTAGATTGAAAGCACTCAAGTGATAGACACACGATTGGATCTCATTCCTGGAGGTGAAGAGTCCAGACCCAAAACATTTTTTGAGCCGGCTTTTTATGTAGGGAAGCTTAGGGCGCGGAGGCACTGGAAGATGGCAGTAGATTTAGGGAAGCTGCTCAGAGTCCCGCGGGAGATAGCTGCCCTATCTGAGACTAAATCTCGTCTTGTATTCAGGAACGTGGCAGCTTGTATTCTCTGCAGAGCTCACAGTGGGAGGATGACGCAGGAGAAGAGGCCTCAGAGGGGGGAAAAGCTTAGATACACTGAGTTAGCAGCAAAGGTCAAGGAGCTGGTTTGGAAAGCAAAGGTCCGCTCTGCCGGGGGATTTCAGTAGGGAAATGATTTCTGTGATTAAGTGAAGTCAGACTTGGAGGGCAGAGCTTTAATCAGGCAGTAAAAACATGGCCGAAGCTGCAGATAGTGCCGGTGAACGAGTGCGACTGACGGAGCTATAGGTGTTGTGACGGTACAGGTGGCTGGAGGCTAATATTAGCACTCAATGCTACCAATGATGAATGCTGTTAGAATTTGGAAAGAGTCATTGCTAGTATGATTCACTCGTCTGTTTTTGTGTGTGGGGACTGTGAACTTGTGTAACGGTTGTGTGTTATATTTACATTTATTTATATATTTCTCCATCTATTACCTATTTTTTTAATTTCAGGATTTATTATATATTTATTATATTTAATATATTTATATTTCATAGCTGTAATTATTGATTTAATATTAATTTAGATGGCATTGCATACTCAGATACTTTTGTTAGCCAAAACATGCTAACCATCTTAATCTTTGGTGGGAAGTGCTTATGGATTGGGTGAGAGTAAAGGGAGAGTTGTTTTTGGGAGCATGCTATCGCTGAAGTTGTCCACCTGCACATGCCTGCACTCACACGCACAACATCTTATCATAGGATGGTTTATGACTTTCCTTTTCATCCCGGGGTTTGACTCTGTACTGGGTGTAATCTCTGCATGTGTGGAAATCTAGTATTTTGTAATTGTTGCACACAAAAACCGAGGATGGCAGGACTACCGAGCGCGCGCACTAACATTCAGGTGAACCTGCCAGTCAACCCAGTGAGGCCAGATAAACTCTAACCTTTAGCTTAGCCTTAGCACACTGGATATGTGGCCTGTTTAATCATCCAGGTATCTGCTCACTGCTGGATTCAGAGACAGAGTGCAGGTTTAGAAGTTCAGAAGTAGGTCAGGCCGAGGGAGAACAATGGTGTTACCTGTCAGGCGGTTCAGTAGATTTATGACAGTGCAGCCTGGTATCCACTGCAGCGCCCAATGAGAGGTCAACACATCATTTAACATTAGACCTGAGCTCCCGCTGAGTGTGTTGATAATAAAACGTTACACTACTGATAATTTATGTTTATATATATTTAGATTTTATGTAAATGTGTTGCTATCGTGTGTTTTTTTTTCTCACCCCCCCCCTCCTCTCTCTCCCCTCCCTCTCCAGCCTGCGAGCTGATGAACCAGGGCATCTTGGCGTTGGTGACGTCGACGGGCTGCGCCTCAGCCAGCGCCCTGCAGTCCCTGACAGACGCCATGCACATCCCCCACCTGTACATCCAGAGGAACAGCGAGGGGTCGCCGCGGACCGCCTGCCAGTTCAACCCCAGCCCCGGCGGGCAGCGGTACACGCTGGCCGCCCGGCCCCCGGTCCGCCTCAATGACGTCATGCTGACGCTGGTGGAGGAGCTGCGCTGGCAGAAGTTCATCGTGTTCTACGACATCGAGTACGGTAAGTGATGGACAGCTCTGATGTCGCTGCGGTGGATGGAGAGACTGAGCTTCTGGCCGTCGCAGGTTAAACCTTGATATTTATTCCCTGACATGTAAAAAAAAATCCTCCACTTCCCTTCAAAATAGATGCTGAGGCTACTTTGAATTGTCTTGAACTGACCTGATTGGTCGCCTGTTCAGAGACCTGAGCGCTTCTCATATGCTGCTGTTGTACTCGACCTGTTGTGCAGAACAGAACATTATAACCAGAATTTGCTGGATCCATCTGTAAATAAACCACCCAGACGCGGCCACCCCCGAAGATGGAGGTGTAACCGCAGTTCTGATTGGTGTCTAAACCTCAAATGCTTACACAAATTGTCATATCTACTATTGTTATTTACACTGATGATGGCTTACAGCTGGAAAACATTCATTTTTTGCTGCATAACAGACAAGAAGATTAGGGTGTGAGTGCCGGTGTTTTGTTTGTCTGTTGAGATTGCTACGACCGTGCACCTGTGTGCACGGCATTACATCTACTTAGATCCATTCTCTCTCATTATGCACATCTAAAATGTCAATTAAAATCTTACTCTTCTCGAGCTCTTTGGATTATCGTCTGAAAAACAAAAGTCTGTTTTATCACACATTGGTTTGATGCAACACTGCAGAGGAGAGAACTCTATGGGATGCCTTTTGTCTCCTTGGGGTTTCATCATTGATGTTCCCATCCTGTATTGCAACATGGCACCTCAACCTTCTTGATGACCCTCCTGCTCTTTCAATCTCTCACTGAAGCAATGAAACACGCTGGAGATCCGAGGTTTTCTCCTCAGGAGGTGGAACATGATGGTACCTCCGCCTCTGCTGGAGCGGCTGTTCCATATTTGATGTTTTTTTTTAGATGTAACCAGTCAAAAAAGTTTTCTCTTACCTGATGTTGTAAATTCACATGGAACACAGATAACTGAAAACGCATTAGGGATAAGTGCGGGATGCCTAAATGATTTTCGATTGTCTTCTGGCCTTGAGAAGGTTTACATGACCGGATGTTGCAGCAAAACTTCACAGATCGACTCTCCGGTCCGCTGTATTTGTTTGGAATAGCTCACTTGGATTGTATCTTAATGAAATCACATTAGGCTCAATGGATTTTTGAGCCTAATCGATACAGGATGGTGGCAATTACAATATAAGGATATAAACAGATGCAGGCATTTAGCCTCTCAGATCCTCTTATCCAGAATGATTTAGAGTAAGTGCACCAGTAGCTGGAGACCAGGATCTGAAACCTTTACTAAGCAACCAGCAACTCAGTGAACATAAAGACCAAAGGAGAGAACTTTTCTCTTTCAGACCAACATCTTCAGACTGTGAAGAAATCCATTCGTGCACCAGTTTAGATCCATGTGTGTGCGCCGGTATATTTGCATGACTTTGACAATCAGAAAAACTCTCAGGGATTTCTTTTGTTGCGGCCTCCTTTACACCCTGCCCACCTCCGATCCCAACTATCGATTTTGACCTTTGCCGGGGCGACGCACGGGGCAATGTTGTGGATCTACGCTCCCAACAGGAAGCTTTCAAGTTCTTTCACCTGGTTTAAACACACACGCAGTCTGCCTCACCTTTACAAAGTATCGGTTGTGGAGTCAGCAGGCAGCGAACGCGACGTCAGCGGCGTCCAGCGGTCTGCAGGGAATCTCACTGATGTGTTCTTCCCCCTCTGCCTGAAGGAGGAGTGATAATCGGGGGATGGTGTCATAGTGAGTGGCAGAGTGAGGGGGTGGTCAGGGGTGGCCGTGCCCACAATCCCCCCCCCCCCCCCCCCCCCACTGTAGCAGGCCATAACGTTTCTTCTGTTCTTAGTGTTGGAAGCATTTCTCTCCAAGATGAAAGTTTCTGAGGAAGGGGTTTGAGGTTAAGACAGTCATGTGACAGTAACCGGTGACACTAGAATCTATCAGGTGAAAGCAAGAACAATACCGATGTATTGATGGTGAGTGGTAGCCATAGCTGTCCTCTGTCTTTTCTTTGTGGTAAACACTTAAACGTTCCTCTCTACCTCACCTTTTGTCTGCAAGGCCAAAAAAAAGAAGAAAAACAAATGGCGGTTACAGTGTGCAGTGCGATCGCTGGGCAATATAAAAGTGCCTGCACCTTCCATGTGACGAGCGAAGGGGAAACGGCTGTTAGTGATGTAACACATCATCTCTAAAGTCTGCGAGCCGGAGCTGCTTCCTCCTTTTTATAGCTTCCGTCTCACAGCAAAGCGCCGCCCTGTTAAACACACACGCATAACAACTGAACCTCTGAGTGACGGCGTCGCAGCCCCGATGCTTTCATTAGTGTGCGCTGTAGCACGGTGTTATTTGTAATGTCGCAGTGTCTCGGTGATCGTTGCTGCTTCCAGGCGTGTGATTGGCCGATTGTTGCAGGTACAGAATGGATTTTAGTAAGGGGAATAAAAGAAGCAATCACTAAACCGTTTTCAGCTGGTGCTGGAAGAATCAGGACAGGGTGTCATGGTGAAGAAACGTACAAATACACTCAGAAACTCCGATATCAACATTAGAGTGAGCTGAACACGGTCGGGGTGAACAAACCACCTACTATCTTTGAACAGATGCTGTGCTCTGATGTCGAGCTGCCCTCCAGCTCTGATATGAACAAGAGTGATGAGAGCTGAGTGTGAACCTCTGATCCGGGTCTGATCAGCGGGGGTGGGGGGTGGGGGGGGGGCACTCGCCACAGAAAAGAGAGTTTGTTTGCGACTGCAGGAGGTAGATCGAATGGACCAGACCCATGAGCATCACAACAACTGATAAAGTTACATCTGACAAAATGTAATAACACGGGCTGGAGAGGGAACGAAAGCTGCGGAGACCTATGGATTGTGAGGACCGAAGACAGTGCCGTCATCTACGGGGAGTACAAGTAATATAAAAGCTGTCGTTCAGGACATGTGGCTTTGTTGCTCTTGGGAAAAGCCAGAAATAATTCAACACAAAAAATTTAACAAAGCTGCTTTTTCTCTCTGCTGTTCAGAGCTTGAACTCTTTGGAGGAACCTGATGATTTCACTCCGAACTGAACCGACCACAGGTGAAGTGAGTCTCTTCAGAGCTTTTCAGATTTTACCTTTTTGCCTGCTACAAATCTCAACGTGTCCTAAAAGTCTTACGACATTTCAAACCCTGAATCCCTCTGCAGACTGTAGTTAAGAACTCAAACTACATCGAGGAAGCGAGGAGCAAATCACCAAAATTACAAAAAAAACATCATCTTTTATGATTGGAGTGTTTCTTACTCTTAAGACACTAACTGTTATTTTTCACCTAAAACTTGCAAAGATGCTTTTTCAATGGCAAAATCAGGAAGTAACTCTTTTTAGATGCCGTTCAGGAAACAAATAATTTTGGATGTAAATCTGCATGTGATGTAACGTGACGTCAGGGACGCATTCTAACATTAGCAAAGTACAATCTACCAAGGACAAGACCGCACAGGCACTGTTTTAATCCTTAAAGTCACTTTGGCTTTTCTAAAATGTTGTATATTTGCATGAACTTGGTTAAGATAGTGATTCCCACAGTGAATTTGCATTATTGAAAGCGTGAAATGACTTCCGGGACCACCAGGAGTGGCGTGGACCACCCGTTGGAAACCCTTGTGTTATGTAGCCTTGCAGGGAGTTTTGGTTTGATGTGTCCAGGTTTTTAGACTCAGTTCAAGTAAGTGAATTTCATTTTTGTTGGTCTCAGAAAAACTAATACTCCTTTCTGTTGAATAATGATCCTCATACAAACTGTTGACAGTGGCTCTGTGGAGGACCTAAAGTGAGAGTATAATGTACTGTGGTGGCAGTGGAGGTTCAGGTAAACTGAGTCAACTACAGTATCTGTGTGGTGATAAAGCTAGCAGCGTCCTGAGATGAAAGTTATTACATCGGTCAATAAAATATTACAGCAAATAGAAGGTACTTTTAAAAATATGTTTTCGAAACACCTCCAGTCACGTGTGTGTGTGTGTGTGTGTGTGTGTGTGTGGGGGGGTTTTGTGGTGTCAGGTTGAACAGTACGACAGGAAGCAGTAACTGAGTCTAATTATCAGCTTTTGAGTTTGAGTTCGATCAAACTTGGAGCAGTGACGCCACATGCTGTGTTTGACTCAACGTTTCCAACAACACAACCATCAGGTGCCGCCTCCGTCAGCGGTGCCGCTTCCACAAATGAATGTTTAATTCTGTCCATGTTATAATTTTGAGAGCGTCTCCAGCAGCTTTTTAATGGGCCTGTTTTTTTAGTTGTTATTTAATTGTTGAATGCAGTCGAAGTGCTCACTTCAAAGGTAATTGGGATTAGTCTGCCGAGGATAGTCGTCGTGTTTTTTTTTTTTTTTTTTTTTTTTTGTTTTGTTTTTTTTTTTTCAAAGTGGGAAATGAATGTTTTCTCCGTCTGCTGTGGCAGAGACACGCCGCGCTGCGTGATCCCACCGCACCACTTACCAATTAGCGGAGGCAGCGTCAGGGTCTGTGTGGAGTCGAGCTGAATGTATTTAGACTGGTTTGTTTTCTCTGAAGCGAGATTTCATTCTCCGCATGTTAATCATCTTTACAGCACGACGACGTTCTGCTCTGGGTTTTTCCGTTGTTTTATCTTCCGAAGTTTGTGTTTGTGCAGGAACGGCTGTGCTTTGGTGGCCGAGGTGCACAGGGTTTTTAGTTTGGGTTACAGAGTGCATTGTCTTCTCTGACATCCACCCACGTGCACATGTCCTCAGGTCAGGGTCAGAGGTCAGGTTACTTCTGTACTAGTGACCCTGGAGATGGTAGAGTCTCACTCGATGGCAGCTCAGCAGCGAATAAGTATTTATTTTTGTTTTTTTCTCATGACACAAATTGATTTAAGAAACTTCATGTGGATGTTTAGACATTTTGGGGGATTTTGTTTCAGACTTCATCTTGAGCTTACCTATTATTACTTACTACAAACTGTGACAAACTAAGACAAAGTGT